TCCCTACCTTTTTTTCCTGCCTGAAAGGGAAAGACTGAAGTGAATGTCGTAGCAACAGATTATGCATGTGCTTTTTTTCCTGACCCAGTTCTTTCACACCATGGTAGCAGAAGACAGAAGGATAAACTGTTCTACTTTTTTTCAGTTCAAGCCTTTTTAGCCAATCTCTTATTCACAACTTCATTTACTGACAAAAGAGGAGTCACACTAAGCAGTCACCACTCTAATTTGGATATTAACATGCAATTAAATAATTCAGAAACTCTGTATTTTTGCCTGCTTTTTTCACATTCTGTCAGAAAAAGAAAATATTAACAGCACTCTCTTTTGGAAAGAAGTGCTGAGAAGGGTTCTGTATTTCCAGCCATGAGAGCTGCACAAGCCATGTGGGAAAGACTTCTTGTGCTGGTGTAGCAGTGAATAAGTGTACTGATCCTGCAGATTTACCTGATCCTGCAAAGTTTGTGTCCTTAAGGATCATCTGTTTCACTCAGTTGAAACAACCTTAAGGTAATTTTTATCCGAAACAAAACTGCATAGCCCAAATTCTGCAGCAAGGTACTGAGTGCCAAAATAATAAAAGTACTCAGCACCTTGCAGAGCTCTGTTCCATACACACAACACTGGTGTTCATAGCAAGCATTTCTTTCAGGAATAAGTGCATCTGAAGAAATTTAGTATTCTTAAAATAAAGCCAAAAGGCCTCACAAAACCATTCAGACTTATATGTATCTCAATCCTCTTGTTTAACTTAATCAGTCTTGAATACTTCAGATGAAAAAAATATCTAGCATGGTAAACCTGTGAAGTTTTTGACTGTCTAGGAAATTTGGGCTAAGTTGAAGAAGAGACATTTGAACTATTTCAATATCAGCTGCATGCAAACTAGAGTAAGCCTTCATCAGGGTTGTGTGTTGGTGCACCCAAGTCTAATGTATTGATAAATACTTATTACAGCTTAATATATAATGAAAAATTGGATGTTTCTCCTTCAAGATCATGCTCACAAGTCATAACAAATACAACAAAATTATCTGAATATAGGTTGTATGCTAGCTGCAAAAATAGCTTCATGAAATTCTCAAGTAACTTAGACATTACTTTGTTTTAAGACATTAGTTTTTGTTTAAATATTTCTCATGCTGAAAGCTCCTGCCTCTTATTTGCAGATATATGAAGAGTTTGGGAGAGTTTTTCTAAGCGACATTATTCATCTACCAAACTCCTGAAATTACTTCATCCATATTTATTAATGATAACTAAGATAATCCATTATAAATTGTTTTAAAGGCACAGACATAGACCTTGTAAAAACTTTTTTTTATTAGAAGGTTTTTAAAAAATAAAAGTCAAACAAATGTCAAATGTTCAAGAGATTACAAAGTGGGAGACTTACACACTTCAGAAAATGGGTGCTACTTGCCAGAAGTTTTTTTTTGGTGGTGCTGTGCTCTTTTAATGTATTTTCTCAATAACCTGGATTAAAAGAGATTTCTAGCAAAATTTGCAATGGCAAAAAAACAGAGATCTGTAAGTAACAAAGAACACTTCACAAATTCAAATTATTTCAGGACAACCAAATATACAATCAATGTATTTCTATGTGGCCAAATATATTAACATATTGCCTATGAATGAGGAATGTAAACCACAGAATCTAAAAAATATTTGGGGATGAAGGATGGCTCAGAGGACCTGGGATATATAAAGGGAGGAACAACAAGTAGAAATAGAGAACAAATTACTTCATTATTTGGCACAGTAATTTCTGAAATATGGAGTGCACTTGAGACATCAACACTAAAAAGGCTGAAAAACTGCAAAGGATTCAGAAAAAAAGGACTGTGGGAATAACTTAAATACTTGAAAATATAACATATAGTCAAATTCAAATAATAGAAACTTTCTTCATGTAGTGAACAGATTTTATGTGATTTGATGCTAATCTGTAAATTCATACATGGGGAATAGAAATGTCATTCCATTCTAACAGAAAAGATATAAAAAAACCTATCATCTGGAGGCTCATATCATGCAAAGGCAGATGTAAAATATTGTATTTCTTAGAAGTAATTAGAGCTCCTTAAAAACACCTAGAGCAATTTACGTAAAGAATTTTCTGAATTCCCTATTACCAGATGTTTTGTAACCCACAGTGGATATTTATTTAAAACACAACTCTGTTCACCATGAACTAATTCAGGTAAATCTTATGGCCTTTATGTTGGCGATTAGAGTATATGATCACATTTGCAACAATTACTTGCTTTGAGAGTCCACTTAAGTCAAACAGAAGATTATGACTGAGTTCAAAGAACATTGGATTCCATGCATAACCACAGTTCTATCAATCAATATATCTACACTATTTTGTTTGTAAAAGCTGAGGGAAATAATGGGCATGCTTTGGTTTGTTTAATTTGTTTTGTTTTCTTCTCCTTGAAGTTTAATGAAAGAAAACTCAGTTTTTAATATACAATGTAAAACAACATATGGTCAAGTCAGCTCAAGTCCCAGAATCAACCAAAAGTAACGGCCAAGATCAAACATATATTAATATAACTGGAGCTGGAAAATACCCTTCCAGTATCATACTTAGCCTTACAGGTTAGAAAGACATTTATATTATGTATGTAGCTTCACTTTAGCAAATTAAGATCTAGCTGCCTCATTTAATTATTTTGGGTAAGCAATAACGATTTCAAGATATAATTATTTTTTCTTCCTTCTTAGTGATTAATAAACAACCTTAAACTAATATAACATGTATACTTACTCTGGCAGTCGAGACAGGATACCTAAAGAAAGAGAACTTATGCCATCATTGATCCGACCTGACAGCTTACGCTTCTGAACCCAGCTGACAGCAAACTCCAGAGCAATAAAAGCAATGAAGAATGGAATGCTCTGAAAAAGTTTGAAAAAAAGAAGTCACAACACAAACAGAATTAGATCCACCTTTCTTAACAGCAGTTTATGCAGCCAGATACTTCTTGAGTTGGCTGACACCTTACTAGCTATTACTATGATAAAGCTCCACACGAACCTTATGATTCACAACCAAGGCCACCATGTAATCCACAACACCAGCATAAATCCAGTGCACTAACCTCTTTCCACATTTTATTTTTTTTTTTAATCTTCTGCACATGAATTGTTAAATGGCATCAAAACAAATGCAAGAGTCTTTCCAAAGTCGTATTTCTCATATTCAAGTAAATCAGTGAAAGCAGCAAAATTTGTGGACTGCTCTGACCATAAGGTAAAAAAGAACCTGCTTTTGATTTAAGGAGTTTTTAATATGTTCAGCCACTGACCTTGGCATCCAACCGTATTATCTGAAAGACAAAGTAAAGTGAGTTTCTTTCTACTCAGTTCTGTTGCCATGCTTTTTGCTGCAGATGGCAACAGCTCTTCTGTACGTGTGTTCATCAGAGAACGTAGTAACTAAGTGCAACCCATTGCACTTTGGGCCATACAACACATTCTTTTTCCAGACCAAGTAGCAATGACACAATACTCCCTTTTTTCTTTGAACTGTACTAACTATAAAATAATTTTCTGCCTTTCTGAAGAAAAAGATGAGTGAGACTGAACTATTTCTCACCCCCAACACTGCTTCAGTCTTCATTCAATTCACACTGCCCACCTCAGATAGATTGGTAAATTCAACATAAACAACAGCAGCACCCAGTAGAGAAAGGTATAGTTGTGACTAGTGGGAGCAATGGTATCATTATTGTGCCAACACCATTTTTTCACCAGCGGAGAAAGGTTGCTACAGCTCCTCTCAAATTTTCATCAGCATAGGCAAGGAAAAAAAGGGTTAAATAAAAGTAATTGGTAAAGCATATGCTTTTTTACTGACACTGAAGTCCTGACAGCCCCTGCATATCATAGGGAAGGAATGATGAGGCAGTGGCAGCATATCAGCCACTGTCACAAAAATTTAGGCCTATGGCACAGAAAAAAAGGAGCTATTTCACTTGTGTCAGATCTCTGTGCACATGAATGTTCCTTCGATGGCTCTCTTGCCCTGTAGAAAACTTTTATGTGATCTTGGAAACACTGAGATTACCCCTTCTCTGTGCTATAAAGGCACCAAATTCCCACCATGTTTTGCAGGGCAAGAGAAAGCAAGACCAGTGAGACTTTCTGCGCCATTATGGGACACATCACACTGCCAAACTTGCCCTGTTAGTCTTCTTCTGCCGCCTCCTTCCAGTGACCTGCAAGCTGATACGGATTCACAGACTGAAACCCTCCAAACTGTGCTGCTGTAGAAGAGGGGCTGCCTATACAACATTTTAATGGAAGAAGCATGTTCCCTGTGCAAATGCCATTGCATTTTGGATGGTGTTCATTTTTGTTGCCAAGTGAGATATGATCCGGGAATTCCTACCAGCCTGGGAGACTAAAAAGACTAAGATGGATATAGACCAGATTGCTCAGTTGAAGAAGAATAGGATGATTCAAACCATGCAAGCAGCAAGAGATTTATGGCATCTAGGAAATGTGAAAGTTCATAAACTTCAGCAGCTCAGGGTTAGGTTACAATAGCAGATGAAAAGAGATTAGTATCAACATGGCACTTTTTAATTTAGCTGCCTAGCTTGATCTTTTAACAGCATTTTAGGTATCTAAAACCCTGTTTGGGATACACACTAACTGATTATATAAAATCTTTGAAAGCAAAGGAAGGTCTATGGATAAAGCCTAAACAGCACCGAAGAAAATCAATGTAGTAAATCTTTGGATACTTGAAACCAATAATAAAGAAATAAGGAAATAAAAAACAAACTCCACCACCTTCCATTTGACATAATTGAAAAATTCTAGGAAAATGTAAATACTCCTTGTTTTGTTTCATTTCATAGAATAATAGAATCATGTAATTGTTAAAGTTGGAAGGGACCTTTAAGATCATCAGGTTCCAACCTCCCTGCTATGCTCAGGGACACCTTACACTAGTACTAGTACTACACTAAGTAGAAAATTTTCATATATTTTTCTTAATTTACATAATTAAATAACAGATTCCTATTTCATCAAACAAAGGCTGAGGACCACAGCTGTACTTCCCAGGAGAAATAAAAGGGTCTTGCTAAGAACAACCAAGAAACACTGGACTGCAACATTAGGAACCAGTTCTAGCACAGACTACAGGCAGTCTCAAGTTACAGAACAGTAGAAACTGCACATCAAATTAATGCACTGAGGGCAGAAAATGTGGGATGTTTTATTCATTAAATGAAAACTGTGAATAGGAAATAAACAATGCTTGTATTCTATGTGGTGATTCAGTTTACCTAGCAACCTCTGAAATGGTTAAAATACTTGACTTTGTACCAACATCCTCTAATATAACTTCTTTCACCTTGATTTCATTAAATATTTTCTTCCCACTGGGAAGCTATGACACAGCCAAGCATTTGACAGTACTTTTTGACTCACAAACAGGGAGTGTCATAGCCAGGAGAATAGAGAAACATTCAGACAGCTTTAACCTCCTGCCTATCAAGGAGCTTACAGAAGCAGAGATTTATGGCATACCTCTTAGTATCTAAGAAATTACCTCTCTCCCACACACCCACATTAAGCTTTGTCCAAAGCAAATAAAAAAGATCAACTATATCAAGACTAGTACGTATTATTTATGTGGCCATAACACCTAGCAGCTATTGTCATGGAATAGGATCATAACATGTTAGATACCAAACAAACACAAGGAAAAGGCACTCCCTGTCCCAAATAGGATACAGCCTAAGGATGAGATGTAAGGCAGAAGGATAATGCAAATAATTCAGGAGAAAAAGGATACAGACAGTAACAGGACAACCATCTCCTGAGCTTAAACACTATTAAAATAAATATATAAATTGACATATAAATAAATAAATAAAGTTAAAAGTACGATGAAGTCATTATAAGTAACCTGTGGAGGTTATGTAACTGCAAAAGTTTTCAAGGGTTGCCCCTACAAACAAAATGACACAAAGTTAAGAAATGCCCACTGCTGGCATCATGGGTGTCAGACAGAACTTAGATCCTTTTGTATCTTCTGGTCTATACATGTTTTACTCTGTCTCCTATTTCTTTCTCTTCACCCATCATCAGTAATACTTAATAAAGATTTGTCTTAGCTTGTGGTTTACTTGAATAACTGATCCGTAACTTGAAAATCTTACTCTGAGCACTGAGTAGAGAGGGCTCCCTTAGAAGTAACCAAATCTTACACAATGCAAAGGACCTTTTAAAACCAGTTTCTGCTTTACACACTTGAAAAAAATAACACTCTTAACTTGAAATGCAGCATAAATTAATGGTTTTAATGCAAGTCTTGAAATGGTTTCTGTTTTCTTAAAGTCCCAAGTCCTTATAAGAACCTCAGCTTTCTTGTTAAACTAAATACAAAGGTATCTGTACCTTATTATTTAGAAGCAAAGCCTCAAATATGAATTGAGTGTAAATATGAACTTAATCTTTAGGGTCTCAAAAGCAGAGAGTAAATAGAAAAGAAAAACAGTGATTGTTGAATTTAAAGCTTTCAGTTTGGGGTTCTCAGCAGAAGGAACAGCAAGCTCTCTTTCTGAGTCTGACCCATGAAAGTCTCCAGTGAGCTCAAGTGATAATTTCAGAACGTAGCAAGGAGCAAAGTAGCTATGGATGAAAACAATACACAACGAGAAAAAAGAAGCACTCAATCAGCCCATTTGTAGAATATGGGAGAAAAAAATAAACAACAAAACAAAACAAGTACACAGAGCATAATCTTATATCCATAGCAAAGAGAACGTGCATGAAAGGACAGGGGAAAAATCAGTATACATTGTAAGAGTCAGACTGTTCTGACCTGGAGAAAAATTGATTTAGGCTTTCTCTTATCTTTCTAGAAAGAATGGAAAAGCAAGCGTTTCAAAATCTTTATGACAAAAGCTCACATAAAAATAAGTTCTGTGGTTTTGGTCCAGGATTGGGACACCTTTTGCCAGAGTTCTGGAGACTAGTTGGAAGGGTGATTTTTCCCTGGATGCTTCCGCAGAGCTTTATTACTAGTCACTGGCAGCTGAGCATTCAATGTTTTGAACAGGACTAATTCCTTGAACAGCTGGAAGTTTGCTTTTCTAAAATTCAGGGTCCTAACTGAGGACTATGAGCCTGACATTATCCCTCTGGACTGCTAACTCCAGCAGTGCATGATCACTGCAGCCCAGGCTGCCTCCAGTCTTGATGTCACTGATTAGCTCATTTGCATTGGTCACCAACAAGTCCAGTAACACATCTCATCTAGTAGGGCTGTGTGTTACCTGGCTTAAGTTATCCTCAATGCATTCCAAGGTTCTCCTGGATTGCCTGCATTTAAGACAGTTACACCACTAAAGCACTTTTACGCACCCACCTAACCGAGCATCAGTAGACCAATTCTGGCCACAAATGTACTGGGAAGGTTAGTTCGGTTAACACAAAATAGCAGTTATAGGAAGATAAAACCGTTTTTAGTGTAGGGTTTTTTTGCAGGATACATATTCCCTTAAAAACTTAATGCAACAAAACTCTACAACAGCAGAAGCCTGCAAGCACTTTTATAATGTAAAGAAGTATTAAGAATCCTTCTGCAAACTTTGACAGCTGTGTGCCTGGTAAGAGAAAATCCAGGTTTGGTCAAGGTCTGAGCTGAATATTGCACAAGGAGAAGAAAGCCCGGGGATGTTAAGGAATGCTGCTGGAAAGGAAGTGAGTGAGATTCTGTCAGAAATGTGGGAAGAGTAAAAGGGATTGAGGTAGGCAATAGAAAGAGCTGGAGACAGACAGCCAGATCGATCAATCAGCTGACTAGGCAAAATTCTGAGTCTGACCCATGAAAGTCTCCAGTGAGCTCAAGTGATAATTTCAGAACGTAGCAAGGAGCAAAGTAGCTATGGATGAAAACAATACACAACGAGAAAAAAGAAGCACTCAATCAGCCCATTTGTAGAATATGGGAGAAAAAAATAAACAACAAAACAAAACAAGTACACAGAGCATAATCTTATATCCATAGCAAAGAGAACGTGCATGAAAGGACAGGGGAAAAATCAGTATACATTGTAAGAGTCAGACTGTTCTGACCTGGAGAAAAATTGATTTAGGCTTTCTCTTATCTTTCTAGAAAGAATGGAAAAGCAAGCGTTTCAAAATCTTTATGACAAAAGCTCACATAAAAATAAGTTCTGTGGTTTTGGTCCAGGATTGGGACACCTTTTGCCAGAGTTCTGGAGACTAGTTGGAAGGGTGATTTTTCCCTGGATGCTTCCGCAGAGCTTTATTACTAGTCACTGGCAGCTGAGCATTCAATGTTTTGAACAGGACTAATTCCTTGAACAGCTGGAAGTTTGCTTTTCTAAAATTCAGGGTCCTAACTGAGGACTATGAGCCTGACATTATCCCTCTGGACTGCTAACTCCAGCAGTGCATGATCACTGCAGCCCAGGCTGCCTCCAGTCTTGATGTCACTGATTAGCTCATTTGCATTGGTCACCAACAAGTCCAGTAACACATCTCATCTAGTAGGGCTGTGTGTTACCTGGCTTAAGTTATCCTCAATGCATTCCAAGGTTCTCCTGGATTGCCTGCATTTAAGACAGTTACACCACTAAAGCACTTTTACGCACCCACCTAACCGAGCATCAGTAGACCAATTCTGGCCACAAATGTACTGGGAAGGTTAGTTCGGTTAACACAAAATAGCAGTTATAGGAAGATAAAACCGTTTTTAGTGTAGGGTTTTTTTGCAGGATACATATTCCCTTAAAAACTTAATGCAACAAAACTCTACAACAGCAGAAGCCTGCAAGCACTTTTATAATGTAAAGAAGTATTAAGAATCCTTCTGCAAACTTTGACAGCTGTGTGCCTGGTAAGAGAAAATCCAGGTTTGGTCAAGGTCTGAGCTGAATATTGCACAAGGAGAAGAAAGCCCGGGGATGTTAAGGAATGCTGCTGGAAAGGAAGTGAGTGAGATTCTGTCAGAAATGTGGGAAGAGTAAAAGGGATTGAGGTAGGCAATAGAAAGAGCTGGAGACAGACAGCCAGATCGATCAATCAGCTGACTAGGCAAAACCGTCCAGCTCTACAGAGACTTTCTCAATCACGACATTACAGCTTAGTTGCAAAACATCTCTGAGGAAAGCAGTCCATCGACCACAGGCTGGCTTTGCCAGCAGTTCTGCTTGCCCTATCCAAAAGGGCAATGTTTGCTGATAACAGGCACCAGTGAGGGGCTGCTGCACACTGCCATTCCCAGAAAGCTGCTGATGGTGCTGCGCTGCTCTGTCCAACTCATGACACCACCAGGACTGCCCAATAGCAGCTACTACACAGCAGCACAGCTGGGGGTTTACCTGGCAGACAAGATAGTCAGAGCTAATGGGACCTCTGTAAAAAGTCTGGATCTTCAGTGAAGCTCGACTGAATTTACTCTGACAAAGGCAAAACAGTGTTTATCTGCTGTCTTCTTTAAAAGCTCAAATATGTTCC